TTGCAGAGACAAAGTATGGGCAGTTTCGCAACCGCGCAGTTCTCTCCTCGGCTGACTTCCTTGCATAAGACGACTTTCAATTTTTAGTGTAATGATTTTAGAAAAAAAGTATCGTCTTATAGACAGAAAAATACGGTACATTTTCTAAAGTGCCACTGTGAGAATGGAATTGTTTGAGCCCTTTTGTTTGCTAGTTTCTGGTCTGTAGCATCTGATGTCAAGTGCACTGAGGAATGGAATCTTTCAAAAAGCTTAATTTCAGACCTTGTAATACTGGTTGGTTAGCCTGCTCAGGTTGGACGTACATGTAAATAAATTAGAGCTAAACTGAGTAAATAAATAAATATTAATATATTCAAACTAGGCCTCAATTATCAAGATTTATTAAAATAATAAATGATTCTAAATAGAATATTCACAACTTAATGAGACTGTTCAGCAATTTAATTAAGCAAAAATGTTTCAGACTAATAGTTTGTGCCACTTTTTTCTGCATTCAAGATCTTAGAAAAATAATGTGGACAAAAGCTATTCATGCAAAAAAATAATATACATACGTATATGTGTGTGTGTGTGTGTATTAATGCATTCTAGGGTTGAAGAAGATGGGAATCTCTTGCTGTTCTTCAGAAGTCTCACTTGTATCTCTGAATGTTGTGAACATCGGAAACGTACTTTCGCTCATTTTAAGGTAGTGCTTTTGAAACATTAGTTTTGTTGTTGCATTAATCAATGCAGTTAAATGAATGCATAGCGATGCATTGGTTTAATGTACCTTTTTGAAATTATGAGTTGTGGATTCATCAGAAATATATTTATAATCATTAGGTTATATGTTTATAGAGATTGCAATACTTCAAAATTATACTGTTTATGATTTCCTGGAGTAGAAGTGTGATTTTTTTCTCTTCCAGTAACTATACCAAGCATCAGATTGAATATTGTGTCATTAGCCTGAGAACTGTGTTAAAAACAAATGGCCGGAAGTTTGTCTCAGCCAATGTAGCATTGAAGACTATGAAATGATATTTTGGGCAATCCCACAATTTTAGAAATTATGTTATCATATTTATTTATTATATAGCTGGACTACCATCATTAGATCAACTCTGGGCATTGTACAAAACAATTTAAAATAACCAAGTAATAAAATCTAAGTGTAAAATAATAATCTATAAAATAACATAATGTAACAATAAAATAGCAATCACAAAATACAACAGTGGCATCAACATATTTTAATAGCAGCAAGATCCCAGAAATTTTATGGAAAAAGCTGAATCTTTATAGCCTTATAAAGGGATTGCAGGACAGATGCCAACCAGACCTGTATTCATGTATCTCACTAAGTAAAAATTGAATCAATAATTCATTGATTCACTCATATAGAGAAGTTAGCAATAATCACACCTCAGATAAACCTCATTGGCTATGATACTGCCACTGCACTTAAATAGTAGATGCCTTATGAATTTCAGGAGGAAGAACATTCTGAGTGTAGTTGCCACCACAGAGAAAGGCCCTCCCTTGAGTAACACAAGATGACTCTGTCAATCTCGGCACACACAGCAGGACTTCTGATAATTTTAAAGATTTAATGATTGCAGATCATTTAATGATTACAGATCAGTTCTGTAACTGCATAGGCACTCTCTCAGGCATTCTGGTCCCAAGTGGTTTAGGGCCTTATATGTCAAAAACACACTCTGGAACTAGACTCAGTAGCTAATTAGGAGCCAGTTTAGTTGCATCAGCAGAAGTGTTAATATATTAATAACCGAGTTCAATTTTCAGATCATGTGGAGAGGTATCTGTATATAGAACACATGATTGCTGCCTAAACATGAGATCATTGGGGTGTAGACATTTGTAGCTACCCTGTCTCTGTCAGATTTAGTTTGCCTAAATAAAAATGTGATTATGTGCCATCAGGTTGGTGTTGACTCTTAGCCACATAAATAGACCTTCTCCAGAATGATCTGTCACCAACTTGGCCTGTCAAGTATTCCAACGGTACCCCCATCACTGCTGTAATCAAGTCCATCCACCTTATTGCTCATTGTACTCTTCTTGTCTTTCCTTCCATCTTTCCCAGAATTACAGACTTCTCAAGAGAGTTAGATCTTTGCATAATGTGTCCAAAATATGATAATATGAGTCTGGTCATTTGTGCCTTGAGTGAGAACTCTGGATTGATTTGTTCTATGATCCATTTATTTATTTTCTTGGTTATCCATGGTTTTCTCAAGAGTATACAATTGCTGTTTGGAATCATCAGGGAGTGATTAATATAAGAATATCCCCAAAATGCCCATAGAAAGTGCAGTAGGAAGAGTGGCAAATCATGTGATTTCAGTCTGAATGAAGGCAGGAAGGAAGAAGCTTAAACTGTAGCTTTATCCTGCTGACTGTAGGAAGAATTCAAACAGATGGATTCACTCAAATGTTGTTTGAGGTAGGGGGTGGGAGAAATGGGGAAACTATAGGGATTTATCATTTTACCTGGCTATGCTAAGTCAAGACACCTACAAAAGAATAGTAAGACTTTTTTTTCTTTATAATTATTTGTTTATTAGGCACGGAGAATTCTAGACAACAGGAAGCACGTGCAGACTAAAATCAGTCAGAAATCTCTGTAAAGGTTTCACATCATATACATTCACCATATACTTGAAGTCTGATATGTCAAATTGCTAAAAGAGTATACTTACAGCAAAGGCTCATAGCTGTAAAATAGTCTTCAATATTGGTGAATAATTAACTCAGAAATAATATATCTGTCTTAAACATATGCAAAGAATGAGAATGAGTGCAAATAAGACTTACTGATGGTGTTTCTGAAAAAGCCTTCATCTGATACATGCATACAAATTATTTGACCACTGTGTTGAAATCAGCCAAGCTGACTTTTATGAGTTAATTCAGTTGATTACAATCCAGATATCACACCAAAATTGTAAGATGATGTTGGTTAAGTGAACATGCTTTAAATACAACAAAGATTTCAAAAATGTTACCTATTCATATTGCAAATACCATGCCACAATGGTTGGTTGGAGACAAATTTCCACAAACTCACTAAAGCTAAGTTAGGAGTGTATAATCTTTAAGGTTTAAGTCGTCTTTTTACTTTTTTAAACTTCTGTACTCACCCCCAATACACAAAAAGACCCTATTCTGGGGTCCACAAATGGGATGCAGGCCAGTCCCATGTGGTTCCAAAGCTGCAGTTTTGTACCCCTAGCCTAAACTTTCTAAACACATGTCAGTCTATCCTTCTGATGGATATTTCTGCCCCCAGTTCACAACTTTCCTAAACAGCTTAATACTATTAATACTATGTTAAATGGCTAACATTTAAGTGAAATTCTCCATGCTATAGCATAAATTGATCTGTGTTTTTTTCCTTTCATTTTGATCAGCGTGATAAACACTTTTAATAAGTTTGGGTTACTTTTTTGATATCCTTAAAATATATTAGAAAATTTAAACTAGAACACATTGCATTTCTCTTTATTGAATAGTTTTATTCCAATAATTGTAATGTACAGATCAGACTGAAACAGCATGATTAATTTTTGATTTCATTTGCTGTTGTTTTGCCAAGCTAATAAATAGCATTTGCCAATAAGATTAGAATAGGTTGCTAATGTATTTGAAAATGATTTATCTTCTTTCATCAATATCAGAAGTTGAACTGGGGAGGGCTGTTCGGTTTAAATAATCTGTGTTGCAATTTTGGCCTATATCCCTCTGTATTACATTGGTTCTTTCCTGCATAAATAGTTGTGCCTGTCAGCAGCATGAACCCATAACCTTGTCTGTTCTTTCAGCAATCCCAATCATGTCAAAATCTAGCATTTGGAAAGCTGTCTAAGAATTGTTTGCCCTTCCTATCCAGACTGTGTGCTGCACTGGCTAAGAAAGTATGAAAGGCTTGCTCTACCTGTTGCCCCATATTCCCTGTATTTTCCCATTATGTACAGCACTTGGATTCGAAGGGGAAAAGATAGTTTGGGCTGTGCAGGGATGCTCATGTAGCACCTGTCAGCAATTTATTAAAACAGCTAGGTCTTTTCCCAGGATCACATGGCTGCCCTCCACAGCCACAGCATGATCCTGAGAAAAATGGATTTAATTTAAAGCATTGCAAGAGGTCTTATATGTGTTCACACACAGTATGTGTTCTGAAGCACCTTTTCCTCTTTCAATCCAAAGTATTGTATAGCCTATTTACAGTACTTCCTTAATCAAATCAAATTACACTGGTCCCCTAAAAGAATGCATCTACCCTCATAACAGTAATGTCTTAAAACCAATTTTTAATTCATTTTGTAATCTGATTACTCAAAAGGAGTCAATGCCTTTTCCTGGTTTCATACTTGAGTCTATAGTCTGGAAGTAAAAATGTTCAGGCTTTTTAAATCTGAAGGTGCAATATCACCAAATTAAGGAATACATCATTACCACTAACAGTTCTGAATATATATCAGAGGAAATTAATATGAAGACATGTTTAAACAGTGATATAACAGTAATCTTTATCTAATTTTTACGTGTTTCAGTTTTGTTAGTAACTAAAAGTATTGGCCTATAGGCAAAGTCTTCAAGCAAATAAAAGCATTGGGGTACTTTCCCAAGATGACTGGGTTGCCTTCCATTCTGATCTCATCCATGCGCTGACGAACATAACGGGTCTGATTGTTTCCTTTGCAGAAGGTTTCGTCTGTAATGCTGGTTATGTTGTTGAACTGTAAATCAAACAATGGGTTTAAAAAATCCAAACATCCCCTTTGAAATTTTGTTTTTTTTTTTTCTTTTATTCAGATATTATTAATATTTCTGTAATATTTTTTGCAAAGCATACAGGAATGTATGCTAGCATTATTTCCTCAAACAGCTTTCATGAATTAATAACATCTTAGTAGCTCTTCCTATGCAATATTTCTTCAAATCATGTAATCTAAAAGTTTATTGGTTTATAGTAAGTCAAATTTTTATGAAGCTACCAACTAGCAAAAATTATAGCTGGGTCTCCTCCACTGATATGTCAGTTCATGAAAATTTGTATCTTACCAGAGACAAATGTTCCCTGCTGAACAGGTTATTTAGTATTAACCAAATCTGTTGTGCACTGCATGAATTATCTACTGTATTTCTATACTCCTTTTTTTCTTTGCATTTTATGAAGTACCAAAACAAAACAAAAATAAAATGAATAAACACTGAAAAACAGAATTTCAGGCTCATCAGAAGCCTCTGAAGGAGCTGATGTTATGAGCTCTTTGCCAGCGTTTTTCATTTTTCCCTTAAAGTATTCAACTTTTTAAAGTGGCCTTTAGGAAAGAAAGTTGCTAGAATTGTTTTGAAAGTTTACTCAGAAGTAAAGTTCATTGTGTCAAGAGAAGTTACTCCCAGGTGAAGGTGGATAGAATTGTGGTCTCTGATTCCGAGGAAGTATCTGGTTAATTACTATACTCGTAAGTTCTATTTTACATTTTCTCCAAGAAGATTCAGGAACCTAATTAGCGCTGCATTTAACATGGATATGGGAATTTTGATATTCTTCCTCGGTTTAGCAATAAATAAGTTTCACAAATATAATTCTAAGAATGTCTGTTTTTAGGGCATTTTCAGTTATTTGAAATGAAGTTTGCATAGCTTTCTCCAGCATTTTTCATCCATATATTGTAATTACTATAGTAGTGTGTGACAATGTGCTTATATCATAACCTTTAACGTCAGTTAGGCAAATCAGTATGATAATTTTCTAAGTGCTGTCATATGTATTTTTGCCACTTTTTCACTGCAGCACATTGCAAAACTACAATAATGAATGATATCATGCAAGCTTTTCTCAGATATTGGGAATATATTTTAAAGCACTAAGCTTGTAGTAGTAATGTTTGGGCAACAGCAAAAAAAAGAAAAAAAGAGTTGAGAAACCTGAAGATGCAGAATACGTAGGCTTTCCGGCAAATTAAGAGGAACAGACTCCAGTGCATTCTGTGCTAGGTAGAGATAGGACAACTTTGTCAACTTCTGTGAAAAGAAGAAGATAATATTTTAGAAGCAGTAAAAATAGGTAAACATTTAAACAGTAATTGTTTAAAATCAATTCATAGGCATACCCAAATTCATCTACCATAAATACATATATATAGAGAGAGACTGGAATAATTACTCAAAAATTATTAAAGATTAATAATCACATACTCATTTTAAAAAAGTTATTTCCTAAATACTACTGTATTGTTTAGCAGTTAAATTGGGTCAAGACTAATCTGCTTGATCCTGTATAAATATGGACGTGAAATGCATTCCATGCATAAACATTATATAGTATAGCTGCATTCTTATTTCTTTTAATTATTTGTTTTGCCAGTTTATCTGCTACACAATCCAAAAAGCTCTGGGAGATTTATAAAAATATATTCTGATGGTACAATGATAAAATCCTTTCTAAAATAAAATTAAAAAATAAATTCTGAAAGGTCTAATTGAAAAATTATATTTTTGAACCCCCCTCTTAAATTGTAATGAGGAGTAGTCCTATGTTCTGTAATTAAGCCCACACAAAATGAACTAACAGATATGTAGAGCCAGATTAGATGCCCAGAAGTAATAATCGTAAATGTTGGCCCATTGAGTCATTTGGAGCACTATTCCAGCATGCTAATTCGTCCCTACCAGTTCACTTCTGACTATGCTCATGTGATGGCACAGGGTGTTAGCCTCCTTAATTTCTTGTTGCTTTTAAGAAAGACAGCTAATAAGTTCCTCCCTATAAAGACTCCAAACACAAAGGATATTCCCCCACCACTTCAACAGTTTTGAGGGGGGGGGGTAGAGCTTCCCTCTGTCCTTAGAGAAGCAATGGAAGAAGAATATGGAAAAATAAGGGATTTTTAGAGACAGGATCTTACAACATCCTTATAAAGTGCATATGGAACCTCAACATTAATTAAAAAGAACTTTAAAATGTGAGGAAATCAGCTAGATAGACAGGATAGACAGAACCATTTTGTGTTCAGAATAGTCCCAGAATGATCACAACAGTACTGTAACACTTCTGGTAAGATTGGAACAACATGAACTGTTTAGGGATCTCTGATTGATCATGGAATACTTCAAGTGGAGCTGTTTTATTCCAAGCTTGAAACAAAACACATTTTTGTGAACAGCCTTAGATATCATCCATTACTAATTACTAAGAGGAGTGAGAGGCAAATATAGAAACTGTAGGCAAGGTAAAATTGCAGTAGTTCAGGGATATTTTCACATTAAATTTTGGAAGAGGTGAAAGACACTTTCAGAAAAATAAGTTTGAAAATCAGAAATGTGAGAAGAGAAGAGAATAGTATAGAATGAAAACAATGAGGTTGCTAAGTGAAGTAACTTAAGGCTGGGATAATGAACTATTTTAGTTATCTAAAATGACAGGAAATTCCGGAAGGATTTTTCTTCTGCAATCTTATATGCTATTACAATTTGTTTTTAAATACTGTTTGGAGAATTAAAGCAAGATACCATGGCAGGCTTCTTTTTAAGAACTATAACCTTAAAGGAAAATTGCTTTTTAAAAAAAAAATGCTGGCCAATATTGAGAAATAGACATCAATCTGGATATACAGCAGAGGACTCACAAAATCTTTATATGGTACACACAGAACCTCAAAATTAATTTAAAAGAATATAAAAATGTAAAAATAACTGTTGAAATTTCACAAAATCACTAGTCTCTCAAGAGATGTAGAATCTTGAGATATAATAATCACACCAAAACTTTAGGAATAAAAAACAGCTTTTTTTCTGTTCCTTTGCTATCACACAAGATTATGGAATGGTATTCAGCATCTAAATTGTTTACTTCTACCTCAAGACCTAAGTAATCAGTACTTGAGATAAGTACAGACATGCAAGAGTGCTAATAATATTTTTGTGTTTATTGCAAACCTACTTTTTATGCCTACACAGCATTATTTTCCAACTGTAATTTTGCAGTATTGTTTGAAGGCTTAAAGTAAAATTATAATATTGTATATCAGTACATTTTCTTACTTAAAAGTAAGACCTGTTGAACTCAGTGGGATTTACTTCCATGTAAACACATAAAGGATTGTGCTTTTGTTCTCCCAAATGCTTTTTGTAGTTCTGTAATCATGGGGATGGACAAGCTCCTTCACTGCTATAAGGTAATGATCCACAAAAGGGGCTCCCTTCAGCACAAGTCAGTCAATTCAGCAAGCTTAACATTTAATTCATAGAATGGTAATCATGCTAATATATTAGTCCAAAAATGAAAAGGACTCTTTTAGCACTTACTAGTTTCGATACATTCCAAATTTTCTTTTAAAAATGAAATAAAATTGTCTCTAAGTGGCTTTTTTTAAAAAATAATTCAGACTGGCTTCATTTAGTAGTGATCGTACATAATAAATTATTTTACCTTGAAAGCGTTTGCTTTAATTCCTCTGTTTTTAATTTTATTGTTATTTACATTCAGTGAAGTTAGTTTGGGTGGCAAAACGGGGAGCTTGGCAAGCCGATTATCAGCCAATGAAAGTTCTTCTAGTAGTAGTAGCTTTCCAAAGGCTCCATCTTCAATATCTTGAATTGCATTTCCAGTCAAATCAATTCTTCTTAGGGTGGCTTAAAAATAAACAATATTACAGTTAAAATATCCTTTTTACAGGCATTTACTGCTTAAAGGCATGCTATAGAATGTGCTGGACTGGCCAAGTAGAGAACAGAACTCAATTCTACATGTATGGTTGAGATGGTTTCTCTGGATTCTGCCTGAAAGGTAGATGACTTTTCCAGCACAGGCACTGAAAATTTCCTCCTTTACAAAAACAACACCAACAACTGTAAATAATTAGAAAAGTAGTGATATTTTTTAAACAAAACTATAGAACAATTGAGATCTGAAATAAAAGTGAATATCAATCCTCTCGATTTTGATATAAGCTTGTTGGCCATGTCCTCCTCCAGGATACAAATGGTAAGTCTCAGGTAAATTTACTTGCACTTCCTCTGCATTCCCAGATTGCCATTTTTATTTTCCAATTCTGTGGCTCCTGGTGATCACTCTTGATTTCTGGAAGGAGAGGGCATTGCTACACCTTTTTTTTTTTAACTTGGGGGAATATGGAGTTAATACTTCTGTCTTGTTTTTCAGTAATTCCCCTTTGTTTCTTAATCCTGTCAGCAGTTAACCACTGTGTTTACAATTAGAGGGAGCATATAGGAGCAAAAGCATGTGTTCTCCCTTTTAAAGGTACCCTCCAGTTGATGGCTCTAGACCACATGAAACAAAAACCTTAGAAGGCTCTTCAAGCTTTGGGCTATGAATTTCACTAGTGACAAACCTTTTTAAAAAATCCTTTTTCCCTGTGGTCTTTCTCTGATGTGCTGCTTAATGCCAATTGTGACTATCTAAGAGAAGGGCCAGCAAGGTGTTCCAGCTCTCAGCAACTGCACAGTGCTGATTCACACAGGAAACAGGAATTTAGTCTGCTTAATTTGTGCTTCTTTTAGATCAAGAGTTGCAATGGGCCACTTGCAATCGTCAACCTAACTTCAATCTTTTGCCTAAATTCTAAAGGCATATACAGGTAGTCCTTGGCTTATGTCCATTCATTCAGTGACCATTCAGAGTTATGGCGATGCTGAAAAAATGGACGTACAACCAGTCCTCAAAGTTCTGAGCATTGCAGCACCCCCGCGGGCATGTGATTGCGATCAGGGCACTTGGATACCAGCTCGTGATTACAATGTTGCAGGGAGCCACAGTCACATGACTGCCATTTGCAACCTTCACTGCAACTTCCCACAAGCAAAGTCACTGGAAAAGCCAGCAGGGAAGGTCACAAATCACTCTGGTAAGTCACTTCCACCTTTTCTTCCAGGACCTCCCCCAACTTGTGCGCAGCCTGTACCAGCCCTCCCTGGCCTCCCCCAGCTTGTGCACAGCCTGTGCCGGCATTCCCCCACCCACCCCCATGGCACCCCTGTGTTTCTTACCTGGGACTCCCACCTCTTCCCATTTAACAACCCTCATGTCTTGGTGTTACGATGACAACTGGGACTGCAGGGATTGCCATTGCTAAGCAATGCGGCTACATGACGTTGCGCTTTACGAATGCATCGCTTGGCAATGGAAATCCTGGTCTCAACTGCAGTCATAACCTGTAAACATAAATAATCTGGATTCTGGTAAGAATGATCTGTCTTAACATCCAACATGGAGAGAAGAATGAAAAATGGCAATTTAGAAAGAGACATCATGAATCATTTCACCTATTTTGCATCTCGTCCTGGATGCTACTTTCTGGAGCTTCATCTGCCCTTGACCTGTAAACTCCCACCCCGTCCCTTCACCAATCACCTCCAAAGGAATATAATCATCAGCAGTTTGGAGTGTTTTAAAGTATTATTATAGATTAAAATAATTTTCAGAAGTCAGTATATACAACAAACATCAATTTGACTTTTGAATTAATTTGGCCACTAAAATTAATTTTCTCTGAAAAAACTGTTATTACTTTCTGTAATGTCTAGTGGTCCAGAAAATACAGGTAACTGAATGATAACCAAAGTGTATTTCCAATGATTGATTATGGTATTTCCAAGAAAGAAATTATTTTTATGGTATACTTACGAATTTCAGCAAAATCAGATACTTTCACCTTCTTGATTTTATTGAATCGTGCATAAAGGTAGCCTGTTTCCTTTGGCAGAGCAGGGATAGCTTCAATATCTGTTTCTTCGCAGTAAACTGAACCAGTTAAACAAACACATAGTAGACAAGTAGCCAATTCTGAAAGTATATAATGTTGTTTCAGTTTAAGTAGAAGCCTGATGAAAGTATCAACAGTTTATAATTAAATTATATTCCATACTTTTTTGCAGAATCTAGGTTATGCAAACATCCTTTTGGCGTTTTTTTGGTTACAGATGCATATAATGCCTTCTGACAGCTCTGTCCTTTGGGGAAAAAAGCGTATACACAGTAAATATAAAAATTGCTTGGAATATAGAACTGAATGCAGATGTTTTGACACCTCCAGTCAGATTGTACGCTTCAGTGAGTCCTTAAGTGAAGAGAAACTGGCACAACCTTTACTTGCTACAAAGTTAAACATTTTTATCTTTGTTAACATCTGTCTACAAACGTAAATGCATGCTTAATATTTATGTGCTGTTGCTTAGAGGTACAATATAAGAAAACAGTTGAATATGGCAGGTACAGAAATTTGGAAAGCCTTCCTGCCAGTACCTTATAACATTTCTTTTGGCAGAAATAACTGCTTCATAATGTTTTCTGTATTTAGTATTTCCTGTGCCACTAGCTGCCTCCCAAATCATAGGAGTCATCCTGTTGCTAAATGGTTGACAAGGTGTTCTGTTCTTCAATGGATTCACCCTTTTTTTCTCCAAATAAATCTTGTGTAGTTGTGGTACAGTGGTTCAGTGTTTGTTTTATCAGTCCAGGACAATTTGTTCCAACATCCTTTAAACTTGTAGAGGTTTTCTTTTGCATATTTTAGAGGATGACTTTTGTGATAAGTTCAGAGAAAGTTTCCTTCTAAAAACTTCTCCATGCAGAAAATTATTGTATAAGCAACACTGTATTGTGGACTATTCCAAAATCAGCTAAACTCTTCAGCAGTTTTTTTGCAGTGATCTGCAGGTTCTGTTTTACAAATATGACCAATTTTCTGGAAGTTAGTTTTTTCCTGATGGGCCAGATCTTCCCTTGACTACAGTAATTCCATATAACTTCCATGTTTCTCACTGTTGAAATGGAAGTGTTATAGAATTTTTTTATAGCCTTCCTCTGCATTGTAAGAGTGAATTATCTTCATTTTCAAATGCCCCAACAGCTAATTATTGAAAGTATACAGAACAATAATTACAAGTTTGAAGATTACAAGGGTCAGAATGTTGTTCATCATTCATCTTTTCCTGGATAATTGTAAGCCTTACAAGTCAATCACATTTTGGGGCCTTATTAACAACTTTACAGTAAAAAAAAGTAGCACCAAATCCACTGGAAGAATGGCTAAATTTCTGCACCTGCCTTAGTCATTGTTTTCTTATTTTGAATCTATAAAAAACTGCATATAAAGAGAAAGTATGCATTCAGATTTGCAGAAAAACATGTTTAACTCCTGATCTTTTTATGATACACACAGTCCATGTAGTTTTCTTGGCAATAATGTGGTTCCTATTGCTTTCATCCAGGATTTTCTTTTTTTATTTCAGTCTAGCATATACAAATGATATGTCCTAGTGATCTCCCTGCTTAACTTTTCAAATGAGCAATAGACGCACATATCACACATATACACATATTCATTCCTCTCTCTCTCTCTCTGTCTCTCTCTCAATATGTTGGTTCTCTGTAAAATAAAGCAATCTAAAAGTTATATCCAACTGGATCAATCTGCCAGTGTTAAAAGTTGCTGGTAGATCAGATTTTATTTTTCCTCTACTCTTTGCAAAATAGTTCAGAATAGTTGCTGGACCCTCTAGGCTCTAGAGCAATTTTGGACAGTGAATTTCCATGCAATGCCATGTGAGAATAGCAAGATGGTGAAAAAAATGGAAATTCATACTGTGCTAGTGGAAACCTCATCCAGTGTCTTTAGATATAGTCCTGTTGTAGTGGCAAAGCTGTTACCTTTCCTAGCCTGGGAGGGTGACAGGTGATATGATAGATGAGATGTCTTCATCTGTTTACTAATCAGGACTGGACTAGTATGGTAGATTATGGCCCATAACATTCAGTGAAGAACCTTCATTCTGCAGTGGATTGATTTGTGTGTGTGTGTGTGTGTGTGTGTGTCCCATAACAATCAGTGAAGAACCTTCATTCTGCAGTGGATTGATTTTTGCATGCATGTGCACGTGCGCACGCGTGTGTGTGTGTGTGTGTGTGTGTGTGTGTGTATGCTAGGAACAGCTAAGATACTGCGCAGAACCCTCAAACTCCCAGGCCTCTGGTAGAGGACCCACGATTGAGGAAGACACGTACCACCCGTAGGGGTGAGAGGGGAATTTTTTATATAAATAAAAAAGGAAAAATCAATCCACTGCAGAATGTTCTTCACTGAATGTTATGGGCCATAATCTGCAATATATATATATTGCAGGGTAGCTGTATATTGTAGGTTTTCTTGGTAGAAGACATAAAAACTATTTATATAGATCTGTATGTATTTTAGAGGAATTCTGATTGTAACTCTTCCCCCGTTATCTGCTGAATCAGTGGCTGAAGTTATCCATGGTTTGCCTTTTAACTGACGTTGAAATTCCATAGTCATTGCAGTGCAGCAACATACAGCTTGCATACACAGGTAGTCCTCAGTTTAAGAATGAGTTCCATTCCCAAGTTCTGTCCTTAAGTCAAACTTGTATGTAAGCTGGGACAGTATTGTATAATACTGTATAAGCAGTATTGTGTAATTAGCTTGAACCATTGTGTATTTAACTCAAAACATTGTGTATTTAACTCGAATTTTGCTATGATAGGCTCTGTTCTTAATTATGGATTGCCTGTAACCCGGGTGTTCTTAACCCGGGAACTATCTGTGTAGCAAATGCTGCTTCATGAGCTCAACATTAAAAGTCTGACTGTCAAAAGGAGAGGGGATGTTTACCTGAGGTTCAGGCTTCTAATTATAATTTCTGACAGAACTTGTGTTTGGAAGTCTTAACATATAACTCTGTGGTATCTGTGAGAATGTCATTGCACTTTACATTTTTTAAGTGTTTACTGAAAACCTAGAATCCCTGTATAGAACTGGTATAACATCCATTTAATTGCTGCTTGATTGCTTAAGTAAATAGTTCTTACTTGTTTAAGACAACAGATATGCTTAATAATGTTGCTAACCCTAATACTGTCATGCTTTGGGATTTGTTCTGTTTATTATAAGCTTGAAAAACATACCTGTATAATTTGTTGCTCCCTCTGCACGTTTTGCATCATCTCTCTGCATTTGTACTTTATTTTCATTGAAAACGATGAAAGTGTTGCCTTCCTTTTAAATATATAACATATAACATATATAACATATAATATACAATGTATGTAGTACAGCTGATAATAATACAATAATTTTCAGCTATAATGGTAATGAAGTCTTTACATGTCAGTAAAAATATACTTGTCTTAACATTTTGCCGAATGGTTGAAAACAATGTAGAAAATTCTGTTGTAAACTTAACTCATCCTTCTTAGGTGAGTTTCCATGAGATAGTTTGCACTGAGGATGGATGGATGGATGGATGGATGGATGGATGGATGGATGGATGGTTGTAATTATATCAGACCCACCAAACATAGCAAAATAAAAATAATGTAAAGAGGAGAAAAGGAAAAAATACAATAAAATCAGAACCATGCAGCATTCTAATGTTCTAACACAATATTCTAGTCTACCCAATATAACCAGTAATCAATCCAAAATTAATTGCCATTAGTAAAGCACAGGTTCTGCAAGTTGCAAATGCAAATTTAGCAATGGCTTTTTTTTGTTTTAGGGTCTTTATCTGCCAGAAGGAGTTTTCCATAAAATTCATCTGGACATCTGTGGAATGGCCTAATAAGGGGAAGCTGATGTCTCTCTATAGAAGTTGCAGTTGAGTAATATATGAGTCATTGTTCCTAACCAACCAAGGAACAATGACTTTCTGCATTGGTTTTTTTTTTTTTTACTTGCCTTCCAATATAGCTGATGGCAGGAGGTCAAAGCGCAGGAGTGTGAAGGCCCTAAGAAACCAATTAACTGTGAACTTATTAAGATACCGAGTTAGCTTGAAACAAATCTCATGCGTCCCAATAGCATTCCAGCTGGTATTGTGCCGTATTCGGCTTTCAATTCTGTATCAAGGATCCTTTGCCTAAGAGTTGTGATAGCCTGCTCTTGTGCCAGTGTCAGATGTGCTTCTGGTGCAAAATATAATTTCTGAACTTTATCCCCCATTTGCTGTTTCCAAGTAGATTGGAATTTGTCTTGCAAGATAAGAGTTGTCAACCCTTGGGGTTGAGAGTTAATGTATAGCCATTATTTGAAAATACTTTGCAGGATCAAATCATAACTTGCTATCCTGATTTTAAACAACATTTAGCTGAATTAGATATGTTTTTGTAATACAGGTAGTCCCCAGTTTAAGAACAAGTCCATTCCCAAGGTCTGTCCTTAAGTCAAATTTATATGTAAACCAGAAGAGTATTATTGTATAATGCTATATAAGTAGTATTGTGTAATGAAATCGAACCATTGTGTATTTAACTTGAATTTTACTACAATAGGCTCCATTCTTAACTATGGCTTGTCTATAACCTGGGCGTCCTAACCTAGGGACTCTGTGTATAACTGAAGAAAAAATCCTTAGCTGCCTGAATACATTTTAGCTTTCATACTACTACATATCGCAAGCATTATAGTGGAAAAACTAATAAGTGGTGCAGCTTTATATAAGTGGAAATTCAAAATTTGCTAGAGGGGTAATGATTTTAATTAAGACATCTTTTAATTTTAGAGTTGAAAAAGAAATTTTAGATTTTTAATTTACACTATATAATTTTAACCAGGTGGTTTGAGAGAGGAGTGAAGGAATCCATTTAGGCCAAAGTGGAAAATACTTCCCTCAATAGAGGTGGAGGTCTCAGACACAACTTGTCTCCCATTTTTCATGCTGCTCTTTCATCAGTCCCCAGGAAGATTA